ATTTATTATTTTATTACAAAATATTATTTATTTATTTTTTATTATAGTATTATTATTATTATTATTATTATTATTAAAACTACTAATTTATCAACTATTAACATGGAAGAGATTTGATTTATGATTTGATGTTTTATTGCCTTGTGGCCGACTTTTGAAGCTTTAGTGTAAACACCGCTCCTGGATTTCACATTAACCTCTGTCTCTCTGTGTTTAGGCTGAGTCTGGTTATGGCTCTGAGTCCAGTTTGAGGAGACATGGCTCCATGCTGTCCCTCACATCAGCCACCAGCGGATACTCAGCCACCTCCACCTCCTCCTTTAAGGTGAGGACACACATAAAACGTCCATTATTGAGCATTGCCAATATGGTAATAAGTCATGCCTCTCTACTCTGAACTCATAGTTTGTGTTTATGACCCACAGAAGGGTCACAGTCTGCGGGAGAAGCTGGCAGAGATGGAGACGTTTCGAGACATCCTGTGCAGGCAGGTGGACACGCTGCAAAAATTCTTCGACGGCTGTGCTGATGCCGTGACCAAAGATGAGCTCCAGCGAGACAAGAGTGAGTAGACGGAGTGTGTTCTGGTGTGTGTGGGAGAGAGGATATCGAATATGCTGACAGACATGTTTAGACAACGCTGAACCTTATTCAGACTGCAGCGATGTCCAGATTCCAATGCATGGGTGCCGTCGCTCTCGCTCGCTCTGGATGCATCTGTTGTTACAGCACAAGGGCCTGTTGATTCACACAAATGATCAACTGCCTCTTTTGTTCGTCCTAGTCCTCTCTCGCTGTGTTGTGTACTACAGTATGTGAGTGGGCCGATCTGAGCACCACCAACCACAGGGCCATGAGTTCACACTGACTGTGTTTGTGTGTTTTCTCTGCTCAGTCGTGGAGGACGATGAAGATGGTTTCCCTACCACTCGCTCCAATGGAGAATTCCTGCATAACAACAACGGCAGCAAGGAGAAACGTGAGTGTCTTTACTGATTTCTGCAGAATATAGCCGAGGTAGCTTGCATGGCGTTAAATCATAAACAAACAAACTGATTTCTGCATGTGGGAAACTTCAGCAGGTTTTTCACGCTCAATGAATTCTCTCTGATTCAGCTCGAGGAGACAGTACTGGGGCGCCACTGACATTATGAGCAGTTTGTCCACTTAATTTACTCCAGTGATCCAGTCATTTGAGCCTGCTGTAATGAATTGTGTGAAATCTATAACATAAAGTCAGCATGTCTCCAGTGGAGCTGTGTTTGAGATGTTTTCATTGAGTTGTGCATTTCTGCGTACGTTTTTTTTTAGAGGAAATACTATACGTTTCTATTTTTGTATAATATAACAAAGAACGTCAGATGTTTTGTGTCCAAACCAAACATGACAAGTTTTTTTTGTCTTTATTGAAAATGAAATATTTACATTTATGAATTTATAAACTAATTTTGACAGCACTAATTTTTTTCACATCTAAATAATATATATTCAATAGAATGTATATAAACATGTAATTTATAAATAAGTTAATAATATGAATATAATATTGTATATATTGTATAGATAAAACATTTTTTTCACATCTAAATAATATATATTCAATAGAATGTATATAAACGTAATTTATAAATAAGTTAATAATATGAATATAATATTGTATATATTGTATAGATAAAACAATATTGTATACAATATATAATATATAACATATAGATTATTTTATGTATATGAATATATATTTATATGTGTGTGTGTGTGTGCGTGTATGTATGTATGTGTGTGTGTATTTAAAGATTTAAGATTTAAAGATAGATAATGCATATAAAATATATATAATGCATGTAGAATATTAAATATTAAAAATGTTTTAAAATACATAACTCAAGCAACTGCTGGTTGGAATAAATACCCAGAAAACACATGGAAGAGATTGCATTGTGCCTGATTTGGAGTCTGTGTAACACTGTCTGGCAAATGAATGTCTTTGTTTCAGAGTGTGACTGGGTTTGTTCTCTCTCCCCATCAGTATTCCAGTGTTTGAGTCATAAAGGCATTAATGGGATAGATTTTAAAGGAGAGGCCATCACGTTCAAGGCGACCACGGTGGGGATCTTGGCTACGCTTTCTCACTGCATCGACCTGATGGTGAAGAGAGAGGACAGCTGGCAGAAGAGACTGGATAAGGTACGAAGCTCGGGCGTCTGGAGCTCGTCCTTGAGCTGATCAAATCAGAAGAGAGATGGTGTTTCTGTAATTCAGGCCTCTGTTGGCAGGCCGCTGCTGTGATTGTGTCTCTGACAGAGCGAAATATTTCCCTGACTGTGAAAATAAACACACATTTATTGTAGTGTGAAGCTAAAAAAATACCCACAGTTAAGTCATGTGTGAACGGGATCTGGTGTCAAATTATGGTACATCTGCCGTGGCGATTCACAGCTGAAGGTTTTGTAACTTTGGCAGAAATATTTTCCATTGATGCTATATGTGAACAAATATGATACATTAGTAGGCCGAGCAAAGTAGGGCTTCCATGACTACTACTTTATACTAAGCAGCTAGTCACCCAGAGCAGAAGACAACTGTTCGCTTTCACGTTCTTGTATTTTATTTATTTATTTTTTTTAATTTTTCATTCAAAAATAATGTCACCCACTGACATAGAAGAAATGCAACTAAAGTCAAATGACCCATGACTAGTCGACACAAGCATCAAATACTGGTGCAACTTATCGACTAGTTTGTGCAAACTGAAATAAAGCTGAACATTTTTTAAATATAAATAATGGATGAAAATGTAAACAAAAGTTAGACTAACCAAAATAAAATAAGTTAAAGTTGAAGTACTGAAATTATTGAAACAGAAATTTATATAAAAATTTTAAACTTTATAGAAATATAAAAATGACAAAAGAACATAAAATTACTAAAACTAATTAAAATTAAAACTGAAAATATACAAAAATTAATACTGTACAAATAATATATTAAAAAATTACTAAAACTTAAGCAAAAATCAAAAAGAAAAGTGAAAATATAAAAAAAGATCATTCAAAATATTAATAAATACTGTCATCCTATATAAATAATACATTAAAAAAAATCTAAAACTTAAACTAAAATCAAAATGAAAACTGAAAATATAAAAATAAAAGTAAATTGAAAATATCAATAAATATTCAAATTCTATAGAAGCAATATTAAAATGACACTAGAAAAAACTGATATAAGAAGTCTTTTGTCAGAGTTTGAGCCAGTCAGAATGTTTTGCATGACACCAGTGTGACAGGACTCTTTTATCATTTTTCATTAATATGCAGCATACATAAACATTTTTTCAAACATGTGCATTTAGCTCTCCTGTTGTAACTACTATAGTTATATAGTGAAATAGAATTTTATTTAAATCACTATACTTCCAGTGCCGCTATTGCAAATTCTGCTAGTGCTGGTCATTTCTAGATAAAAATCATATCTGACATCACCAGAGAGTTTGAGAGATGGAAGCCATACTCATAAACATGGAAAGCTGTGAATAACTGCTGCAGTATCTTTACCAGCGAAGTTCCTCCAGCAGATTTAATGGGTTTGTGTGTGAATGTGAAGCGTGTGATACAGAGGTGGAGCTGAATCCGTCTGCCGATGTGTCGCAGTCAGCAGCATTCAGCACAATACTGACATATACAATCAGAGCGAGAACACAGGCATTTTGCTTCTGTCTGAACAGTGGAGCGCTTCAGGACAATCCTGCACCGATACAGTCTCTCGCTCTGCCCAGATCACACCGAGACAAGATCTACTCACGCCAAGACATTAAACATCACGGTGGCAGAGTGTTTAGTCAGCTAAAGCCGTGCCCCCTCTCTTGCTTCCTACAGGAGATGGAGAAGAGGAGGAGGGTGGAGGAGGCGTATAAATCAGCCCTGTCCGAGCTGAAGAAGAAGTCTCATTTTGGAGGGCCTGATTACGAGGTGGGTTGGGTTTACGCAGATGCATTTGGTGAAGTAGGCAGAGCTGTAAACTGTATGGAGATGTTCATCTTGTTCTGTCCATCAGGAGGGTCCAAACAGCCTGATCAATGAAGACGAGTTCTTTGACGCTGTGGAGGCTGCTCTGGACCGACAGGACAAAATAGAAGAACAGGTGTGTAATTACAGACATTCACCCCCAGTTTCACAGACAAGGCTAAAGCCTAGTCCAAGACTAAAATGTAAATCTGAGCTGTTTCAACTGAAAGAAATTGCACTAACTGATCTTAAAACATGTCAGTGCCTTTGTTTTGTCTAAAGATGCACTCCAGTAATGCTTTTTTCTAAGGCAAGTTTATAAAAATTACTTAAATGTCCTAATTGAACTATGGCCTAATCCTGGTTTAGGCTAAGCCCTGTCTGTGAAACCGGGCCTCAAAGTCTTAAATGGGATAACTGAAGTCTTAATTATCATTTTAAGAGAGCTTTAATTAGAGGGTGGAAAAATGAATCATGATACGGTTTAATGTGATTATTAAACTTTATAATGCTATGTTTTTTTCTTCTTCTAAACCCCTTAGACGTAAAATATTTACTTGAAGTACCCACATTTTAAGTTGGTATTTTCTATTTTCATTAAATTAATACAATTTAACAAAACATACACATATGTTCGTAGTTTTCTGATGTTGTTAAATGGTCACATGAATTAAAATAAACAGATATGTAATTTTCTTTAGTAAGTTTTGCATTTTGATGTTTTTATATTAAATAAATAAATTATATATATATAAATTTAAATTATTATTAACTTTTTAACTCTTAATTATAAAAATAAGGATATAAATATATTACTGTTATACATTTATTTTATTTTATTTTAAGCTGCAAGTTACAATGCTAATATTTGTCTTATTTTTCACTTTCAAGCTTTAATACTGGTGAAATGCTATACATTTATTTTATGATTTGATTAATATGACTGCTTCATGTTCAAAGTCAAAATGTGATGCTGTTGCATGTTCTACGGGCTTATTTAGAGCTTGTTTAAAATTAAAAGTCCCACACTAAACAAAATAATTTTTTTTCTGGATATTATTTAACACATTCAATATATAGATTTAGCTGGTATCACAAAATAATCTTTTTATTGCCTTTCTTTGAAAGTATTATTGTATCAGCAAAATCCAAGATCGACTGACCTATAATTAGTATGTATTGATATATTAGTATGTATATATTTATATATTATATTAGCATTAGAATCTATTTAAATGCATATGTATATACCCTTTTATGCATGTCTCAGCCTTTTTATGTTTGTGCAGGTATTAAAAAGGTTTTAAAAACTCTGCACCTAATGGGATGCATTAACCTCATGTTTTGATGCTTTGAATAAAAGCATCTGCTAAATGCATAAATGTAAATTTAATGTGTGTTTTCAGCTTTTTAAAAATGTAAAGCAAATATATAAAAAAAATAAAAACAGTTTATAGTCTGTTTATTATCTTTAATGCATCCTCAGTCTTATTGAGCAGGATTCATCAGTGCACTCTATTCTAAGGAAAATAAATCATTTTAAACCAATAACACATTAACATTTGACCATCCAATCAAAAGCCAATGGAGAAAATCCAGTCCTTTCTTACATTATTTTCCACTGATTATTCAGTTTCACTCTTAAATGCGTTATGTTATTGAAGTGTGAAGTTGTTTTTTTCATTAATTTATGTGCGTTTTTATAGTCTCAGTGTGAGAAGAGCAGGATACAGAGGAGCAGTTCAGTGCCTTCAGGAGACATCTACTCCAGCGTGGGCTCTCACCGATTCGCTGAGAAGGTGAGCTCATTCTTCTCATCGTGATCGTCTGTAGACCTCTTCCTGTGTCCCTGTGGTGCTCTGTTTTTCTGTCTTGGTCTCTTTGGGGGTTTTTTCTCTCCTGATGAAGCTGCATTTCTCTTCTTCCTCACCTGTGTAGCCCCCCTCTCGTCCTTCCTCTCCCTCGTCTTCTGCTGTAGCCTTCACTCCTTCACTCCATGAGCACAGATTCAGTGCTGAGGTAACAGCACACTCATCCAACACTGTTATGGCATGAGATGACATGACCTTACATCGCTAATGCATTCGCAAACATCGCACATGTATACATATATCTAGTCAGCGGGACTTTTTGCGCATCATTCCAAACATTTTAATGTGTTCTGCATTAAAAGATACCAGGAAACATTTTTACTCCGAAAGTACATTACAGGAGAAAAATAATACAACTTTTATTGAATATCAATTTGAATTATTGTATATAATTATATAGATACTTATTTGTTATTTGTGTAAAATAATATTGTTAAATTATTGTACACAATTGATTGAAGTACTGTAATTGAGACTATTTTTATTTTTTGTAGAATTTGCCATGAATATAACCTTTGATGCTGATATATGGTATAAAATAAATAACATTTTGGGCATCATCAAAAACGATCTTAAAAGGGTCTTAAGTTTGATTTTTAAAATTCTGCAGATTTACCACAATGTTGTTTTGGAAAAATAAAAAATTTCTGCTAAATGCATAAATGTAAATGTAATACAAATGTAAATATTTCAGCTTTTCAAATATATAAAATGAAATAATTAATAAACAATGCACCTTAATCTGAGCTGCCTACTTTGTCAGCATTTTTGGGCATTATTTTAATGTGGGTATGATGCTGTGCTAATGCCCAAAACTGCTGTCAGTCAAGGGAGTCCATTAGGTTTTAAAACACAGCCAGTCATTTTATTGGCAAGTTTACACGATGGACAAACATATACGGTTTAAATAGCACATTAAAACCACACAGTCTGCCCTGGTATCGCTGTTTTGTGTTTGCCTTTTAAATTTGCAGCTAATAATGCTTTGTATTGCTTTTTAATATGATAATTTGCATGTTTAATACCTTCTAGGAATTCTCTTACTTCAAGTCACCTTGAAATCAAAATGCAGCTAATTTGCTTTAATTCATGTTCCTGGTCTTATTATTTATTCATCTGTATGTGTTTGTATAAAGTGCTGATTAAATGGTATTACATAAATAGTCATTGTTTTGGGCTGCTTTTAATGCAGCCATTCTAAAACCAGTAGTTTTATGCTAATTAATATAACACAGTTTAGGGAGTAAAATGACATGCCTGTTAGCTTCGATATACAGGTGCATCTCAATAAATTAGAATGTCGTGGAAAAGTTCATTTATTTCAGTAATTCAACTCAAATTGTGAAACTCGTGTATTAAATAAATTCAATGCACACAGAACATACGTGGCCAACGGTTAGAGGAACCTCTCTCACCTATAATCTTCATAAAATAGCTATTAAATTACCCAAGTAAGATAAAGAAAATATTCATATTTAATAAATGTATGAATATATAAATAAGTTTGTTTGTTGTGGCTGCAGTGAATCCTGGCGGCTGGGCTCCTGCGTCTGTCCTGAGGGCCGTCGCGAAGAGAGAATATCCCAAATTCCTCAAGCGCTTCACTTCCTACGTCCAGGAGAAAACTGCGGGAAAGCCCATCCTCTTCTGAGCACCAGGTGCACCAGACTACACCTGATGACTTTAACTGTCAGCAGTGACACCAGTAGTGAAAAAGAGATTAGCCAGAGTCAGACTTTTAACTTCATGTTGTCTTTTAAAATATCCTTGTTATTTTAGGTTACATAAAAAATATTTGTATTATTTACTTTAGATTATATTATTATTGTTATTTTTAATTATGAATAATTTTATTATTATACTATTTGTTATATATATATATATATGCATATGAAGAGTTTATTTGCAAAAACGGATAACTCCATTTTTTTTATTTTAAAAAAATCCTGTTTTTTATATAAATAATGTTTATTATTATCATTACTATTGGTATTTTTTATTATTTTACTATTACTGTTATGATATATTTAATTATATATTATTATTTTCACTATAGGTATATTTTATTATTTCTTTGTTATGCATTTTATCGATTGTTATTATGTATTGAATAATATATTATTATTATTTTACTATTGTATGTTTTATTATTACTGTTAGTATTGTTGTTGTTGTAATTATGTATTTTATTAGTTATGGTACTCTTTATCTAATAATAATATTATTTTACTATTATTAGTCTTATTATATTATTGTTATTTTTACTATTTATTTCTATGAATTGTATATTTAATATATTATTATTGTTTTTTAGTTATTGCTATTTTTACTACTATTATTTTTTTATAATTTGTACTATTATTATTATTTAAAAGATTGATTTTTTAAAAATGAAATTAGTTATTTTTCATTGTTTGCAGTTCCCCAGTTCTGCCGTGGGTGTGCCAGAGCGCCTCCAGTCCCACACACTTCCTCTAGCGACACAGAAGACTCATCGCGTCCCTTCTCCACAGGAAGCCCCGGCGGCAGCGGCGGCCCTTCGGTAGACGCTTGATGCCGTTCTGTAGCGCCACACTAGCTCACACAAACAGAGGACTAGAGATGCCAAACACCAATGTCTGTCCCATGTTTTCTGGTAGAGATCTATATTGATATGAATATATATGTATGTATGTAAGTAAGTTTATATATAACGGAGAGTTTTGAAGCTGAACACATGAGACCGGCTCTGTTTAGTCTTGTTTTTTTCTGTTTTGAACAAACATTTCAGCTTTGCTTTCGTTGTCCTCATGTAATTGTTCTTTGGGGAAATCAAAGGCATGTTTGCGAGTGAACTCTATGAACCTGTCTTTCGTCTCGATGTTGGCCGTCTCTCTTTTTATGAAGCGCAGCATCTGCCGCTGACGAGGAGACGTTTCATTTCTCTCTTGATTTAGTTATATCCGTGTCTCAGCAGCTGATGTACCGTAGCACAATTCCAGATCGATCGGAACCCGCAGAAATTTTTAATATGTCAGAAAAAGTTTGCGTGCAGATTATTTGTATATAATTTCATTATAGCTTCAAACCGTCAGTCGATGCTTTTACCTGACTAATCCGACTCCATATGCCTTAGTGTGTGTGTGTGTGTGTGTGTGTGTGTGTGAGAGTGTGTGAGACTGAGAGGTCTGTACCAACTCAAACATTTCTAGAAAAGTGCCTCATTATTGATCTTGCTGATCGTACCGCCCACGTCCGTTATATCCGAACTACAGCCACAAACCAAACTGGCGTACTGTAGTGTTTATACAAAGATCATTTCATAATGATTTCTTACAACGAGTTATTATTTAAACGCGATTTTGCAATCAGACTGAGTCGTCAGAAGAGCATCCTCTTATTGGAGGAGCCCTGACGCCAATCAAATTCACTGTCCAATAGGGAGATGCGGTTCAAATTTGGGGCGTAGATGATACCTAGCTGTAGATGCATTTATTTATTTTTTCCTAATTAAATGTATTCTTCTGAAGTGAAAAACTAAATCTCAAGCATTAATAAACAATCTTACAACGCACAAACTGGCAAATATGTTCTTGCTCAGTATTTTTGTCTCATTTCCCAGTAAAAATATCTACAAATTCGTGAATCAAGATACATTTATTTGAGAAGCAAAATTAAGATATTAAGTCATTTTCTTAAAGAATTATGCTTAAATCAAGAGTCAGTGGGGTATATTATTTTATGCTTAAAATAAGAAAACAGAAATATTCAGATCTTTTTGTTTCCCCTTTGAATTAAATATTTTTAGGCCGCTGACTGATATTTTTCTTGATTTAAGGATGATTTCATTTCATTTTGATCTATTTTTCAGAAAAGGTTTGCATTTTGCATCTACAGTATAAAATACAATTTCTTAAGATGTTAATTAGTTATTAGTCTTGTTTTCTGAGTTAATTCTTAAAACAAGAAAAAAATAAATCTCTCAGTGGGGTTAAAAATATATATTTTTCCCTTTAAAATAAATGTATTTTTTAGCCCACTGCCAAATATTGTTTTAATTCACTTAATTTACATTAATTTTTCAGAAAATGTTTGCATACATTTTGCATCTACAGTAAGTAAAATGACTTGATCAAATGTGTTTATGCTTAAAACAAGAAAATTATATCTGTCAGTGGGATTAAATAGATTTTTTTGTATATTTTCTGACATGTTTTTTAAGCATAAATTCACTTCATTTTTATAAATATTTCAGAAAATGTTTGCTGATATTTTGCATTTCCAATAAATTTGATGATTTAAGAATTTTTAGATATTTATACTGGAAAACGAGACCAAAAAAAAAATGAGCAAGAAAATATTTTTTTGCAAAACGACAAGAGCTTTTAAATTTTTTGCTAAACATTTTCATTGGTCAAACTGTTCCCATGATAGACTGTTAAAGACACCGTAGAGCAACATCTGAGTATTTACGATTTATAAAACGCCACACTCGTACAACTTAACCATTCCACTCGCTGAACCTGAATGTACGAATCCACCGGAAAGCTGAATGTGTTGCTTTAACAAACGTACACCTGATTTCCCCAGCGAGGTGAGCGTTTGCTGATTGGAGGGTTTATCGGTGGACGCAGCCAATCAGGAGAGGCGTTCTGCTTGTGTGTGTGGCCGTCTAATACAGTCTAGTGTGTTATTAGTTGCATTTGCACTGAATGTAATTTCGTTGGGGTTCAGATGTTTCGTGTACATAATAACGTGTTACACTAAAGGTGTAAGGATGAACATGTACTGTGAATAGAGGGCGGCACCGCGGCCCTGTGTAGAGGAATAAAATGATTGACATCTTTCTGCACCTCTGACTCTTGTGTCATTCATTTCTTTGTGCAATTAATGCTTGTTTGGATTCATATTCTTTTATTTAGGAGTTTTAAAACTCTCAAATAAGTGATTTTTCGCATGCAACCTCAGTATTTGATTCAGATATTGTTTAAAGTGTAGATTATTGATTGATTTATAATACATTTTGCTTATTTGTAATACTTCATTTGTTGTTAAACATGTAAATGCTCACAGTTACACAGTCTATTATTGACTACTTTGCCACTAACCAATGAAATGTGCCGTTCTGCAAGCATACTTGAAATAAACTGCAGATTAGAAAGTTGTCATGGCAAGAAAAATCCTATTTTTCTTTGATCTTTTGAAAGGTCTCTGTACCATTAAAACATTCAGCCCCGACAAGCCGCCCAATAAAAACAGATCATTTCAAAATGAGT